TCACAGCTCAAATTACGGTGGGGAGTGTGGTGGCTTATGACCAGCTTGGGCAGTTCTGTCCTCAACTGTGTCCCAGTGTCCAGCACAGCCCTGGGCACATCATAGGAGCATAACAACTGTTTGAATGAATAAACAGGTAAACGAGTGAGTGAATGAATCACAGACTCAACTTAAAGCCAGACACTAAAGGAGAGCACAGAGGGGTTCGGTGACACACCCAGTCAGGGTGGAGCCAGATCGGATCCCACATGCCACAGAAGCCAGTGTGGGGCTCTTCCCCATCCTTCCCTCCATCCACAGAGAGCTCATACACCACACCTCCCCCATGTTGCCCACTCACCTGTCCTCCTGGAAGCAGTGGGCCGCTGTGATCACCCAGCGGTCAGCGATGAGGGCCCCTCCACAGATGTGTCGACCCCGAATCTGGAGACTGGCCTGCCAAGGCCACTCACCCTCAGAGGACACTGCTCCACCCACAATGCGGCTGGAGGGGCCCTGGAGGCCACAGTCTGGGAGAGAGGGAGGGTCAGGGGTGGACAGGGGAGGAGAAGAGGGGGGAAAGGCCAATGAGAAATAGAGGACAGAGGAAGAACAAAGCAGAGAGATGGAGAGGGATGAGAAAAACGAAGGAGAGACAGGTTCAAGATAGACAACAGAGGTCAGGGACAGAGAGACAAGCAACACTTTGTGAGACTCCCTTCCAGCTTCCCCAGGGGGACTCTCCCCTCCCTGCTAGCCCCTCATCCCAGTGCTGGCAGAACAGGCTCACCGCAGTGGAGCTCGTCCGAGCCGTCCCTGCAGTCAGGCTGCCCATCACACTGTGGGTTGGGCCTCTTCACACAGCTGCGGTCCTCACACTGGAAGGTGAATGTCCCACAAGGCACTCCTGGGATGGAGAGGTGGGGGCAGGCCGCCAAAGGTGTGTCTCTGAGCCCCAAGGGACCCTTCCAAAGTGAGGCACCAGGAGACTAGGGAGGGATCTTTGATCACACTGAGGGGTCACCGGAGTCTCCTCCGGGCTCTCCTGTGCCATGTCCCCCTGACCCACCCCACACTCAGACTGGTCTATGAGAACAAGGCTATGTCTCCTCTTTAAGATTGGAATTCTGAACACAAGGTCATGCTTCCCTGTCCTGTGTGGCCCCTGAAGTCAGAGTTGGACTTCCACCATCAGACTAGGGCCCCAAGAATAGAGCTCTGCCTCCCCTACAGATGAGGGCTCTCAGTCCATAGTCCTCCAGCTCCAGCCAACTGGTCACGCACCTGCCCCTCCCGCTGTTTTCCTTAATACATGTCCCAGCATCACTTGCCCTGTGCCTGGTCTCCACACCCCCCCCTGCCTCCTCCAGGAAGCTTCCCATACCTCCAGTCTTCCCACACAACTAGACATGGTGTCCTGAAGGCTTTGGTCATAAGAGTCACTCATCAAGTCCTCCTATGAACAGATAACCCCTGGGGCAGAGAACACTCCATGGTGTCTTTTAATCCCACCTCCTCACCCCACCTTATCTATCACTGGGTATTCTACCAGTGTAGGTTGGTGGTCTGGTTGAATGGATGACTGGAAGGATAGTTAAAACAGTGGACATACAGAAGACAGGGAAGACCAACAACTCAGTGGATTGATGGTCCAGTTGGGAGATTGACAAACAGAAGGATAGACAAATAAGGGGACATAAGGACCAATGGACAAACAGTTAGTTGGCTAGGGAGATCAGTGGATGGATGGATGGATGGATGGATGGATGGATGGATGGATGGATGGATGGTTGGATGAGTAGCTCAATAGTAAACTGGCTGAATAGATGGATGGAACAATGGGCTTCCAGATTGATAGTTGGGAACATCAATAAATGAGATTGGCAGTTTGGTGGATAGGGAGAAAAACAATTGTATAGTCAGTAGATGGATGGATGAGTGAATCAGTGGTTACATGAAGCAGTGGACAGACAGGGTGCTTTAGGAGACCAGAAGATGGAAAGATGGATGGATGGATGGATGGATGGATAGGTGGATATGTGAATTGGTGAGTGGGTGTGATGTAGGAGTTAGGTAGAGAGTTAGGGAATCTGATGACTGAAAACAATAGCTTGGAAATTGATAAAATAATCACATCCTGTCCCACTGATGTTAACAGAATGACTTGGGACATACAGTAGTCTTTCTGACCCACAGCCCATGGAAAATGGCAGCCTTGGTCTGACCATGCAAAGCCAAGAACTCCCCAGCTTGATATTTGGGAGGAGCTGATGATATGTAGTCCAGTCTTTAGAAGCTAATGACACATTAACCCTGTTCTCCCGGACTGACCACCCCATGTTCACAGACCCTAATGCAAGCTTGAGGTCTTGGGCCCCCCCATGCAGGACTCCCTGAGCCTGCCCACCCTCCTGGATGATGGATAAATAGGTGGATGGATGGATAGGTAGATAGATGAGTGGATGGATGGACATGCTGACATAAGCACAGAGGGTTGATGGGTATGTGGACAAGAGGGCAGAACCCTGTGCTGAAGAGAGCTGTGGAACCTGGCTGCCTGCCACTCCAGATCCCTGGCTGCAGGACCCATCTACCTTCTTGGCACTGCTCTTCATCACTGCTGTTGAGACAGTCAGACTGCCGGTCACAGACTCTGGACAGCGAGATGCACGTGCTGTCTTCTTGGCACTGGAATGTGGCTCTGCAGACTGTGGGGAACAGAGAGGGGCAGGTGGGAGGAAGCCAGAGGGCAGGCTGGGACTTTGAGATGCCAGTGGAAGGTGTGCTGCATTGCACATTGTCGATCACAAATCTTTTCTCAGCTACTGTATCCCCAAGGCTCACAGCAAGCCAGTGTGATACCCTGTTTCATTCATGAAAACAGTCGCCTGGCTGAGCTAGACCTGGAAGCTAGATGTTCAGTCCAAGTAAGAAGCACTTTCCCCAGCACCAAGGTGGGTCCCCCCAGAAGGGTGCACATCTCTCTCCTCTGGCTTTCTCTCACAGATTAAAAACTGACAGGAAAGAAGAGGGGACATCTCTTGCCTGGCCACTTAGATGGTATTTCTAAGGACCAGATGCCAAGATTTGGGGGAAAGGTGTCGTTCCAAGAGAGTCCTGGCTCAGGGTGACCACCAGGACTCTGGACCTTTTCTTACAGGGCTGGGCAGAAAGAGTTGGCGGCTCCCAGGCTGAGCCCCTGGCGTGGAGGAGTGTGGACCCCACACAAAGAAGGAAAATAAAGGAGTCTTGCCTTGGCCATCTGAAATCTGACAGTCCCTGCCTGACAGCCATTCCCTAGCTGGTCCTGCCCTCACCCTCTCTGTTTCTCTTTGGAAGACTGGCCAGGACAGATGGGTGGGGCATTGGCCAGGTGGGGAGAAGCCCTGCATGGAAGGTCCCAGCCTGTCCCTGCCACTAGTCCCTGGGGAGGCTGCTTCCCCACTCTACCTCCATCTGACCATCCAAGCACAGTGAGAGCTCCCGCTCCCTGGGTGTTCATAAAGGGTTTCAATGCTGGGAAGTGAGGAGAGAGGAGGGAGAGGGGTAGGTGGGCGGGAGGGCTGCTCACCGCAGTTTCTCTCATCCAGGCCATTGGGACAGTCCTTGATCCCATCACAGGCTGGGACACACAGTCCATTCACAGAGCAGAGAACTCTCCAGGACAGGCTGGGGACCCACAGGAAGCCATGGAAACAGGGAAGACACCCTTAGGACATGCACCATCATGAAACACTCAGATGTGTGTGCCCCTGTGTCCTCACATATGTGTGAACAGGTGTCAGACCCCTGCTTCTGGGCATCTGTGTACACAGTTCATGCACACAACACACATGTGGGTATGTATGTATGAGTGTGTATTCAAGCACACGTAACTGCCTGCACATGGCATGCACAAAGCTCACACTTGCACATGCATGCACACATAACACAGTCACTCCCATTCAGCCTCATAGCAGCTGCCCACATCCAGAGATGGCAAAGGGGTTAGGGAGAAGCTGCAGGGGTTCGGGGACATGGCTATAGTCCGCCTGCCGTACTCACGGTCTGATTGGTTGTACAAGCTGTAATGCACCTGCACGCCGGGCCCCGTGAGGGAGGTCTGGGATGTGAAATTGATGGTGATGGCCGCCGTGGTCACCACAGAGATTCTTTCAGCATAGGGCTGCAGGGTGCGCAAGCCACACAGCCTAGGGGTGACCAGGGATGACTCAGGGACAGGGGCAGATTTCCTAGTCTAAGGGAAGTCACAGCCTGAGTCCCAGTGCACAGATAGGCCAAGGACAGGGCATTCAGAAGGAATGGGGAGCAGTGCCCCCACCCCGACTCCCTCTAGCTTAATTTCTCCTTTAGGTGACTGCTCCACCCCCAGCCACCTTCTGGAAAGCAACCTGGCTTTGTCACTCCCCTGCTCAAAAACCTTCAGTCGCTCCCAATAGTCTGGGGGATAAATTGAAAATCTAGATTCCAGCCTCCACCCCACCCCCCAATCCCATTACCTCTAAGCTGTGAGATGCTAGCAAGTCAGGGACCATTTTTAGGGCTCATTGTCCTTTCTTATTTTATAGGAAAGTTATCATTTCTGTCCATCTTGGATCTGGCAAAAAGCTTCCATGTGTCAGCAGAGACAAGAGATTTTGACAGGCCCACTATCTATAGACAGGAAGGCCATCCCTGTGCTGTGTCCAGTGAGGGGCAGCACTGCTCCCCATCCAAGCACAGGCTGGCCTGGGCAGCCGGCCCCTCAGCCCTGTGGGCTCCCAGGAACCAGTACTGTCTGGGCTCGATGCAGAACTAGTCCTTCCCCTAAGACCTGTGCAGTGGTCATGTCGCTAGGCATGGCCAGCCCTGGGAGCCCCTCGTATCCCAGAAGACACTCTATGTCAAGCAGGAAGGTAGGACAGCCACCATGTGGACATAGAGCCTTCCCCAGAGGACAGGCCAGAGCCCTTCCATCTCAGGATGGGAGGCAGGGCATCTGGGCACACCTCAACTCACAGAGCAGGTGGCATGCTTTCAGAGTGGTGTGTCCACCCCCTGAGTGCTTGGACCCTCCCCACAGAGCAGCTGGACGGCCCTTCTATCCCAAGTGGGACTCCTTCATAGGACAAAAGGGGACAGCTCCATCAGCTCACAGGGATGCCCCCACCAGGGAAGGGAGCCCTATATATATCTAGATAGATAGATAGATAGATAGATAGATAGATCTATATATACAGCTGAATTTATGAATTAGGCACAGTAGCACAGTAACAGACTGATAGCAACAACTAATAACAAAATAGAGTCATTGTAGCGATATACTGTAATACGGTTACTGGAAAACTCGTGAACTATTTCTGTAATTTTTCACGTCATATTTTCAGATCATAGCTTACTGTGGGTAATTGGTGGTGTGGACAAGAGGGGCTGTAATAAATATTTCTAAATTTTATCAGGTTTAATTCCTAATACTGTAAATATTAGTAGATAACCTATAAAAGCAAAATCTCTTTAGGGGGCTCCATCATTTTAAAGAGACCCACCACCATGCTGTACCCGACAGGCACGAGGCACCACCAGGGGGCGCCCAAGAGTAAATTTGGCCTTGCCCTTTCCAAGCTAAGGAAACTGGTTTTTTGTTGTGGATAAACCAGTTTCGTGAATTATTATCCTCAGAGCACAGCCCCGGGAAGTGGACAGGGGAGTTGGGTGCTGGGTAATATAAGCAGGGGAAACAAGGAGTCACAAATCACAAACATGATTCAGGGACCATGGGGTCACTGTTGTTTATACAGGCATGGGGGAGTTGTGGGGAGGCAGAGGAAGAGGCAGAGCTGGTTGCAGTTTGCTGAGCATTTCAACAGAGAGGCAGCTGCGTTGTCACCCTGAGTCTTGGGCAGGGTTCTAAGGTACGAGTGCCTCCAACAGGACTTTCTACTGGGGCCAAGAGAGTCCCAGAGTCAGTCCATGGCTTGCAGAACCTTCCTACAAGTCCCAACCCCATACTCCAGAACCTTCTGCCCCAAGCAGCCTTTGGTGCTCATTCTGGAGGCCAGGGACCTACCTCTCCTTAGTGAGGACATAAAAGAGTTCAAGGGGCTGCACAAATTATTTTCCATTTATAATGAGAAGGCTGGTGGAGTGGCTCAAGGGATAGAGTGTCTACCTGTTTGCCTAGCAAGCATGAGACCCTGAGTTCAAACTCCAGATGGAATGCCATTTATAATAAGAAACCCCAGAACCATTGGCTGGGACAAATAGGCAGGGCATGGCCTTGCTGTCTCACCTCTTTGGGTTTCGGGGATTTTTAATTTTTGCCTGGCCCAGACGGTCAGCAAGTCCACACAGAGGAACTGGAGAAATACTGTGTGCATGAATGAAAGAGTGAGCAAAAGAAAAGGCGGGGAGGGAAAAGGGGAAGGAGGGAGGGAGGGAGGGATGGAGGACACCCCCAGGCACACCTTTCCTAAGCACAGGCTGAAGGGTATCTGAGACAGGGAGACAAGCCCTGAAGAAGGGACAGTGGCACCTTCTGTGGTGACCAGAGCACTGGACCTGCACTGCAGAGCTGAGTGTGACAACCTGTGCCACCTGATAAGCCGTGTGACCTTGGGTACATGACTCAATCCCTTCAAGTCTCAGGTCAGCAAGGCAGGGTGACAGATCTCCCCCTGCCGCCCGCCCCATCTTCCTGCAGACGTTCCAGGGAGGAGCTGAGAAGACAGCTTCTAGGAAACTGGTGCTGCTGACATGGCCAGGCTGTAAGCTCACCCAGGACTCAGCATGGCCAGCACCCAGTTCCAGGTGGCTGCAGGCTGTGTTGGCCATCCACGGGCCTGGGGCAGCAGAAGGGCCACACCAAGCTAGGCCAGGTTCCAGGGAGCTCCTGTGGCCCTCAGAGGCCAGAGTTCTGCCTGACCTCATAGCCAGGAGTGCGTGGAAATGTCTGGGCAGGTCATAAAAGAGGACATATGAGGAGAGGAAGCCGGTGAGGGACAGGTTCCCGGAAAGGGGGAAACCTGCACCGCCGTGGTGGCAGCACCCAACCCAGCAAAAGTGATTTCTGTGAAACTGAGCAGCCAGGGGCCGGATCTCGTGAGGACAGGTCCCTTCACTACCCCTAAGCCACTAAAGGGCATGGAGGGTCAGGCAGAGACCAGGAGAAGCTGGGTTCAAAGCCAGGAGGTTGGGAGAAGAGAACAAAGGCAGTGGGTAAGGTGCCTAAGGGCGTCCAGGCAGCCTTTCCTTGTCACTATGCTGAAACCTGAGGTTCAGATCCCTTTCCCCTGGTCCCCTCAGTGGCTCCTGGGCCTAAGTGCTGGGCCTCCCCCTCCCTGCCAACGCTTCCTACACCTCTGAAGCTGCTGCCACCCACCCAGATTTTCCACAGACGCTTGCTCACTCGCTCGCTCGTTCAAAGAATTTCCCAGCCCTGGCCTGGATGATCAATAGCAAAGTCTGATACCTGGAGGTGAGGGCTGGCCTGGGGTGTTTCTAGCCTGCAGGCTGTGCCTGTGCCTTCCCTTCCACACCAGCCATGGACAGGGGCCTGGGGTCAGGAACACACAGTTCTCCACTGGGGGACCCTGGGCCTGAGTGAAGTTCTGAGAATACAGGACTTCTCTCCTGGGCTGTTCTCGGTGAAACAGCAAGAAAGCCACAGAGACCACTGGTTCTCCCACCAGGAGGCCTGGGCACTGGTGGGAACACCTGGGCTGTGGGGTGACAGCAACATGGGGTAGGAATGCGTGCCAGTGCAAGCATCCATTCACGTGCACACGTGGATACACGCAGACACACAGATGTACCCCCTCCCCTCCACGCACAACATCAGGCCACCCAGGCTCAACTCTGGCTTTGCAAGCTAGGAGGCTTAGCCCAACTGACTTTGCCTCTGTGGGCCTCGGGTTCCAAACTGGTGGCTACAGTTGGGATGTCCCTGGAATTTGTATGTGAGAAAATTAACCCTTAAAGTCATGTTTTGATGTCACTTGGAGGGTGGACCTTTGGCGGGTGGTTAGGTCACGAGGGTTTGACTCTCATGAGTGGGTTGATCCACTCATGGCTTAATGAACAAATGAACTAATGTATGAGTGGCTTGTCTTGAGTGGGTCTGTTATGAAAGCCAGTTCAGCTCTGTCTCACAGTGTGACACTCTCCGCCAGGTTAGAATACAGCATTAGGCCCTCAAGCTGAGCAGATGCTAGCAAGCTCCATGCTCTCAGACTTCCCACCAATGTGAACCGAATAAACCTCTGTCCTTTATATGATACCCTGTCTCGGATATTTTGTTATAGCTGCAGAAAACAGATAGGACACTGCCTGCTTCCTCCCGGGCTGCTGAGGCCAAAGGAGATTGGTATTGTTAGCTCTGTGCCCAGCCGGCATTGTCTGAGAGCCAGTTAGCACTGTGGGGCTGAACTTTAACTCAGCCTCCATGTGCCAGGGCTCTGCTCTCCCTCATTTACCCTTCAACCGTGGGGGTCTGCTTCATGGCCTTTGATTTTTTTTTTTTTTAATTTTACACAGCTAGGAAATGAAACCTAGGGTTTCATGCACACTAGGCAAGTCGCAACTGCTAAGTCCCACCCCAGCTCTCGTGCCCGTTTTTGAGGGGAGTTCCTGAGGTTGGGAGAGGTGAGTCCTTGCCCAAGTCGGAAATGGAAGAGCCAGGTTGTAAACCCTGCTCTGTCTGGCGTCGACTCGACGCTAGCTTCTTTCCACCACGTCAGCTTGATCAGGAAAAGTATTTTATGAGGACCTAACACAAACAACTTGCTTGGGAGACACCTTTCTGCTGGGTAAATAATAAAAGGTTGGGGCCTTGACTATCCTGACCCCCTGATCCACAGATGAGGGGGACTGTACCCAGAATTCCAGGCAGAAGTCAGATGGCCAAACTCGTGTGGCACCTTCTACCTCCAGGAGGCCAGGGGAGGCTGGGAACACTGGGATCTGCCGCACCTCACTCTCCCCACCCCACTCTCCCCACCCATCCACTAATTGGTGGCACCCTGAAATCCGTCCCCAGCACATAAAAGCAGGAAAGACAAGGGCAAGAGACCAAGTCTTTAGCCTTGCCCCCTAGGCCTCAGTTTCCTCACCTGTACAATGGTGAGGGTTGGGCTCAATGACCAGGCCTGTGCACACACCCTGTGGTTCAATGGGACTTAGAAACAATGGCAGGGGGGCTCCCTCAACCCCGGAGTCCACCATCGTGACATGGTTCTTTTAAAGGCTCTCCCCATCTGTACCCCATACTAAACGCCCCTGTCATTGTGCAGAGCCCTGCCTGGCCCCTCGCAGTGCACACTCCCTGACCGATGTCCCGTGCCAAGCACTGAGCCCTGTGCCACGGAGCACCTGGTGCTGGGGCCCAGCGTCCAGCTGACGGAATGGCTGTGGGGTCTGGTGAGGGAGAGGGCCTCAGACTCAAGACTGCTCACTCTTCTAGATCTCCCCAAGACAGCAGAGTCCACTGTGGGAATTGAGGGGGGTGCAGCAAAACATGGCACCTTCATTCACAGAACCCAAGTCACAGGCCAATCTCAGTGTCTCTTTGGACGCCTGACACAGATCGGCAAACCTAGTCCTCCTCAGCCTGGGCGTGTGGCAAGGGGACCAAGAGGCTCTATGAAGGAGCAGAGCAGCCATGCCAGAAGTGTGTAGGGAGACACCTTCTGCCCCCCAGACAGCCCAGGTCCAAGTCACACCGCCAGCCTGTCACCCAACAGCACAGGCCCAAGTTACAGCACAGCATCCCTCCCTCCTTTTAGTCACAGTCCCTGATACATTCCAAAACACCAGGAAAGGAAAGGCGTCAGTGGGGCCGTCCCTCCCCGTCACCTCTGCTCCGATGAACCTTCCAAGCAGGGTCAACTGACCATGAAGTCCAAGCACTGCTGAACGGCAACACCCACTGCAGGACCCTAGAATTCTAGAACCTTCCAAATTTGCCATATTCAATCTTAGAGGCTCAAAACTGTGAAGCTAAGAAATCAAGAATTCTAGAATCACATTCTAATATCCTAGCCTGTTAGATGCCCAGGATCCCAAGAGGGAAGGGAAGGCAGAGACCTGCCTGCTCTTAGCTGTGGAATCTCTCTTCAGCGTCCCAGGCAAGATGACCTTTCTCACCTGGTTCCCAGATGGGGATAGGTCACCCCAGCTTGGCAACTGCTGCTTCAAGCTACGCCTTCTCCCCAGAGCTCTGCTTCTCATGGAGCACTCCTTCCACCCCATCTGCTCCTCTGGCCATTGCTCCCCTCTCCCCTTCTGCACAGCCTTTGTATGTTTTGACCTGGAGTCTCCCATCTTAAATTTCCAGAATTTCCTAGCTCCCAACAGAGGAAAAGGTGTCTACACCCCTGCCCCCTTTGTCTGCTCCCCACCACCCTGGTCCTTTGAAGTTGCCAGTTCTAGCAGTGGCCCTCGGTTGCTGACAGTCACCTGGGTAATATTTCTCTGACCTCACACTCCTGGTCCAACCCCAGCCACACTGACCCTGGCTTTGCTGATCCCTCTGTCCACAGTCCAGCACTCACTTCTTAGCCAGAAACTTCCTTAAAAGAAAGGCCAAGGGCAGGAGCAGGATAGAGAGTGGGTGCCCTGCGGGGGAGGCAGGATGTCCCGGGGCGGGGGGGGGGTCAGTCAGGGACCAAAGATGGTGTCCACCTTTGGCTAGGCAGCAGATTGCTGGGATGAGGGGAGGAGATGGCTTCTGGTGTCTTGAGAGTTTGGGGGGAAGCCCTTGAGCACCCTCCACAAGTTGTGAAAGGATTCGTGTCAGGATGCCTGACACGGGGTTCAGGCCCCAAGATGATGAAATTGAACTGGGGTCACTGTGCATCTGAGGGATTTGAAACAGCAGGACAGAGTGGGGGACCAGGGTGCAGCCAGAATGGGGCCAGGGTCTAGAACAACAGGTGACATCAGCACCGGCCTCTGTTTATTCCCCTCAGCTGGCCCCTGAGGCTGGGCCTTGGGCTCCCCGGGTGGATGCTTGTGAGGGGAGTGGGGGGGCCCTGGGGTGGTACCTCCTGTTCTGGATCATCCATTGGCCCTGGGTACATGGCAGGTCATACTTCTGCCTCCGCAGCGCATAGGCATCAAACCAGAGAGCCAAGCCATAGTCTAGAGAGGGCACCTAGGAGGGAGGGGCGGGCCATCATGAGCCTGTGGGGTGTGGCCAGACTGGGGCACCCACCTCCCCAGACAACACAGGAGGGAGGCCCACTGACACAACACCAGCTGGGGCTGAAGTCTGTCAGTCACTCAACAAACATGCACTGCTGTGACCAACAGAGGGAGAATGTGGTCACAGCCACCCATCCCAGCAGGGGTTGTGCCCAGCCTATTGGCTCTTCATCTGGATAGGACACTGGCCTTTCTATCCCCAGTCCCAGAGGCTTGTAGGGAGCTCTGGGCAGAGGGAAGATGTCTGGAGGAGTGTGGGGCTCACCGTGAGGTGCCAGGAGCAGTGGGTGGTTGGTGAGTAGTAACTGGGGAAGTAGGGTGTGCTGAGGACACCCTGCGGGTCCAGGTGGCTCTCCAGCGTCAGGTTCACCTGGCAGGCTGGGCCCAGAGAACAGCAGTTAGGTTAGGCCTGGCCCCTTGGGCCACCCCACCATGCTGCCCACAGTAGGCAGCAGCCATCCCAGTGGCACCCTGGTTGAGCGTAACTGTGACTGTGAACTTTGGTTTCCTCATCTGTACAATGGGGACAGCCATAGTCCCTACCCCGCAGGGCAGCAGGGAAGAAGGACGAGACAAATGTTCAGACAGCCTGGCAGGTAGGAAGTGCTCAGTAAATGCCAGTCCCTGGCGTTAGCAGCACAACAATCAGCAGTTGACAAAATCATAAAATGTGCTCACAGCTGCGCCAGCATCAGTTACGGCTGCTGGGAAGGAAGGGCGGTTCCCCTTTTCTAAGATGAGGTTGGAGAGGAGGGCTTGACTGAGCCACTTCGGGCCCAGGAGTGTCCTCAGCTGCCCTGGTCACCTGTCCCTAAGGTCCCCTGGAGTCTGTGTTGGAGGACCCAAGAGAATGGTGGCTGTATACCTCAGGGCCAGCTAGGGACTTGTGTTGGCCCAGGAGGTGGGGACACTGAGTGGGAAGGAGCGGGACAGGTAGGGGAGAAGCAGCTGTGGACAGGGGCTGTGTAGTCCTCCCTTCCCCAGCTCTGGAAATGGCTCTGCCAGCTCAGAGGACAGCCCAGTGCAGGGTGAGGTGGGGAGGGAAGCCAGAGGCCGGAGGAGGGTGGGTGGGGGCTGGGGAAGCGCAGAAGGGCCCATGGTGGAGGGTCAGCAGACTGGCCAGCAGGAGGGTGAAGGAGAAAATGGAAGAAGGTGAGGGGAAGGGGGGAGCAGAGGACCTTCTGGAACCTTCCCTTTCCCCAAGCACTCCCCAACAGGGCAGAGAAGATGTCAGGAGAGACCCCAGGCTTCTGTCCTACCCCTCTCCCGCCCCTCACCCTGAAAGGCCACGGGCTGCACGGAGAGCACGAAGGGGTCAAAGTAGCTGTACAGGCCTTTCTTCCACACCACTGCCATGACAGCACCTGATGCCAGGACCTCCAGCACGGGCTCCTGCCGGCTGCAGCCATAGACCCTGGTGGAACAGAGAAGGGTGCAAAGGCAGACAGGGTCTGGCCACTGAAGGGACTAGGAGGGTACGTGGGCTACACCTGGCTCTGTGACCAGCTGTTTTGTGTCCCTCTCTGGGTCCCCAGAGCTGACCTGAGGTCCTCTAACAGTTGTCTCCTGCATGCCTACTGTGTGTTCACCACTGGGCCTGCATAGAGGCAGCGGCATTTGTGGGGAAACTAGAGGCACCTCAGCAAGTGAGGGCCCAAACCCTGCCTTGGGCCTCAAGTCTACCCCGCCCCAGCCCAGCTGATCTCAACAGCCCAGCAGTGCTTGACCCCACTCCCACCTCCCAGGGTGGCCATGGCCCCTTTCTTAGGCCTCCTCCCCATTCTGTCTTCAGCACGAGCTGCTCCCTCTACAGAGGCATCCCCAACACTACACCAGCACACATGCCTCCCCTCCCGCTGGGGACCCTGGCTGGGGACTTAGTGGGCAGGATTTAGAATGAAGAGGGACCTAGAGGTCCCTCAAATTTACTGGGGGCTCCAGATCTTACTCTTGGGGTTCACTGCAGTAACTTTGGGCAGAGCCCTTGGAAAGACATGGAGGCCCCAAAATAAGCCATGAGATTAAGGCAGGGTGGGGTCTCACCTGCTCATCTTCTTGTCACCACCAAGTCCCTTACCCCCCTACCCCAGCACAGCCCTGGGGTACAAGTTTGAGGACACCACTCATGCTAGATCTTCTCCAAGGGTCCTGAGGGAGTGAGGCCAGTGCTACAGTGAGCAGGGACAGGCCTGAGCCTGGCAGCCAAGTCCCCTCCTCAGCAGTCAGCTGGGGAAGGGGGCATGGGAGGAGCCCTGGGGGAAGTCCACGAGCATCCCATCCTCGAGACCTGGAAATCAGGTGGCACTGGCGTCTGCACTTCCCAGAGCCCTCCAGGAACCAACCCACACACCCGCCAGATGGAGGTCATGAGGGGCTGAGAAGGGGGACAGATGGCAGCCTCAGAGCTGGACACTCAGAGCACTTGCCTCACCCTCCAAGACAGCCTTAACTTGAACATGCAGGTCCCACCCCACTGCCCACGTGACACGGAAAAAACAGCAGCTTGGTGATGGGCACAAAGCAAGTGCTTGATAAACAACCACCAAGTGTCGCCTGCTCTACTTCCTGCATAGCCTTATAGACTCTGCACCCCTCTGCCCACCCTGGGTCAGGCCCCTGGAGGCCAAAGCCATTTCTGGTTTCTCCTCCCTAGCCCCTACCCCTGGCCTCTGCCCACCAGCACTTCCATACTCCACACCACATCCCATGTTCGTAGAGTCTGACTCCTCTGCTCAAGAACTTTCAGTAGCTCCTGCTTACCAAATATTAATATTCAAACTGATCCTGGCACCCAGGGCCTTGTACAGCTATGTTCCATCTAAAATAATTGTAATCATGGCTGCCACTTTCTGGGTAGTCACTACATGTGCGGATCGTGGCACAGATGACCTGATTAAAATTTCACACTGACCTTGAAAGGGTCACCCATTTTACAGATGAGACAACAGGCTCAGAGGGGCAAAACCCCCTTGCCTTGGGGCTCACAGCTAGGAAGCAACAGAGTGGAGTTGGAAGTCCAAGCTGCTGCCTGACTCTGGAATGTTCTAACAAGTCATGTGGCCTCCCAGGGCTCACCTAGAACAACTGCTTTATTACAGATGGGGAAACTGAGGCTTAGGGAGGGGAATGGGGTGCCTGCAGGATGCTACTATTCCCGGCCTCCTCTGCACCTCCCCTCCATGACCAGGCTGGAGGTCTGGTCACCGCCCTCGGCATGCGGAGTGTGACCTCTGAGTCGCACGTCACTCATGCCCTCCTCTGGGACTCACGAGGTGATCAGCCTCTTCTCCAAAGGCCCGGCCACGTCGTACATGGCCAGCCGGTCGCGGCACTCCGCCAGGGTCCACTCGAGCCGCAGTTTGAGTATGAGGTCCTCTGGCCCCTGAAGGTGCCACAGGCAGCTGGAGGCCAGCTGGTCGGGCCCCTTCAGCTGGAGGGCCTGGCCCTGGCGCACATAGCTGTAACGGTAGCACCCTGGAGGGGAAGAGGGACAAACCCCAATCCCCATCAGTCAGGAGGAGAGACGAGGGAATCACCCACAAGGTCCTCCTGGGGGAGGAATAGGGAAGGGGAGGGGCAGGGCCAGATGTAGGATGCCCCACCCTTCCAGCCCCCTGTGGCTCGCCTGTCCAGCCCCTCATCCATGCACTTGCACACTGGCCCAAACATTTATTCACTCAACAAACTCACTGAGCTCCATACACCAGGTGAGTGCCCAGGGAGAGGGCCAGGCACTGGCTGGGAACACCAAGAACAGTGGGCAAGACAGGAAATTGAAGTGTAGGAGGTGGGAGCTCTGAGCCCAGTCCGAGTGGCAGGGCGTCCTGGGGGGGTCACAGTGTGAGTGTAGGGGCCACAAGGAATCTAAGTGCAGGCCACGCATTCATTGTAAGAGGCCGGGGAGGACAGGGAGCAGGGCTCAGATCACACTGTCCCATCACTGCTTGCCCTGCCACCATGAGGAGCCATGGGTTGTCAGATCCCAGACTCCTCTGGCTGCTGGGAAGAGCACTGGAGCGCTGAGGAGGCTGGGAGACCAGGAAGGCAGCCGCACAGTGTGGGGAGAAGGGACAAGGCTCTCGCTGCAGGTGGAGAAGGGTTCTGGGAGGCAGCCTGGAGGAGGATGAGCTCTGAGCTGACCAACAGTCATGAGGCAAGAAAATGAATCAGCATGGATGCCTGCTGGGCTCTGAACTCAGGGCCCTGCAACTGCTGTCTGGCTCCTGCTCACAGCCTCTCCCTGCACACCCTCCATACTTCACACCCCTGGGCCAGGCCGACCAGCGCCTCCCTGAGCCCTGGGCCCCATGCACCCCCGTGTGCCTCTGCCTCCTCTCTCAATTTAATCCATGAGCTTCGACAGGAGGCTAGAACTTGCACTGCAAAACCTCTACACCGCTCACCTCATTCCCTCATCCAAAACAGGAGGTGAGCACCCGCTAGGTGTTTGTCCTGGGCACCAGAGCCCAGAGAGCAGAAGTAGCCATCCCCCCACCGGTGCACACAACAGTGTATTTAAACCTCACTATGGGCCTGAGAAGCAGGGAGCCTGGGTGTCCTGCCAAGAGAGGGAGGGATTTATGACTGACCCAGAGGCATGGGAGGCAGCCTGGGGACACTGAATTATCGTCCCAGCAGCACCGCTCCTCAGCAGAATGACTCTGAGCCAGTGGCTTAGCCACTCTGAGTTTTAGCTAAAGAAACTCAAAATGTCTGTCCCACCCCTCAGCAACCTCGGCCATCCTGACTCCCGTGGGGAGCTGACCTCCCCGGGACAGAGAGCGGGGTATTTCCTTGGGGAAGACACAGGATCTCTGAGATCTGCCTCCACCACCAGCTGGCTGTTCCTGGGTATTTGTAGTCTTTAAACTTTGCTCCAAACCAGTGCTTCACTCTACCATTTTATTTTCTTTTTTGAGACTAATTAAGTAGAGATATGTGCTGCTCTCTGTTTCAATCAGAAACTCTGTTTGGGTGTTTCTGGGTATCCTGGGTGGTGGGAAGGAGGTAAGTGAGCAGGTTCTGGCCTTTGCTCAGCCCATTCCCTCTGCCCAGCATGCCTTTCCCCTCGGGACCTCACAGATTCCTCCTTCTCCCCAAGCCCTATGCCCCTCCTCTGCGAAGGCTCCCCAGCAGCCATCTCTGTCAGGAGTGGCTCCTTCCTCCCTGTGATGGATGTAAGGATGACGCTAAAGCATCTCCTTCCTCTGGACTCTAGCCCCACGTCCACCTGTCTCCTTCCCTCTCCCTCTGCCCTGACTTCTTTGTCAGCCCCGACACTCAGTGTCGTGAGAAGCCAAGCCTTGTATGTGTCTGTCTCCCTCGTGGGACTCAGAGCTCCTCTGAGGGCAGAGGAGGCCAACCCTGGAGGAAGGGTTCAGAAAGTCCTCTCAGAGGGTTCCAGCTGCCATCTTCTTGCTCTTTAATCCCAGACACCAAGAGCTCCTGAGTGCACTGAGCCAAACAGGAGGCACAGAACAATTGCCAGAAACGTGGGGACATACACACACCAGCGGTGACACACATTGCAAGCCAGGGTGGTGCCTACGTCCATGCAGTGCAGTGCGGTGTGTGCTCACACACACTCAAGTGTGCACGTGTGGACGAGTACGATAGCTGGCCTTGGCCAGCAGGGGGGCGGTTTGCACTGACTTCCTTCCTTCCAGTTCCTTCCCAAGTTCCCAGGAGAGCCAGCTGGACTATCCTGGGGCAGCCCCAGGCTGGCTATAGTGACAGAGGGGCCATGACCTTCCAAAGGAACCATTTCAAAACAGACAAAATAGACTCAAAGCATGACAGGTGCTTAGAAACTGGTTCCTCGCCTAGACCCACAAAGTAACTGAAAGCAGGAGAAAAGCCTGGCGCCCCTGCCTCCATTCTGCATCTGTCTCCTGTGCTCTGAGTCTCTCTCCTGCGGTCACCTTGGGTTCCGGGAAGGACAGGACTGATCAATAACATCTTTAGGACAAGGGACTGAAACTACCTCCGAGGAAAGGATCAGCAGTCTCGCAGGACAGACCCCCCCCCCCCGAGTGAGGACAGTGACCTATGACACCGAGGCTGCACCCTGGAGCAGGGGCAGTCATCTTGTGGGGACCAGATTGCCCTACTCAAATGATGACAGCGAGAACAAGTTCTCTGAAACTCCCAAGAACCAGAACTGAGAGAACGAGTGACCAGGCCACCCTGTGCCTGGGACTGCCTAATTATGTACACCCTCCCCAGTTCTCCCTCTGTTCAAACCTAACGGTCACGTCTGCACAGAGGACGGCGGAGTGTTTACTTCGCCTCTTCCCACGGCTGCGCGGGCTGTGTGAACCTCCTTTTCTCAGCCCTTCACCACCACGCGTCTCTTTACTTGGTGTGTTGGGGTGACTGGCCAGACCTGACCTGTGGGACCCCTGGAGCTGGGCCTGTGGCCTGGAACTCCCTGTTGCAAAACCTCAGGTTCCACTTGCAAAAGCCAGGTCCTTGAGCAGGTGAAGGTTTTCTCTGAACTCAAGGGTTTGCTGGGGGGAGGGAGGGGGGCGTCGTTCTTAGGGGTGCCGAGGCCTCACAAGCCCAACGGCACCTCCTGGGATTGTGCTCTGACATGAAATCCCAGAGCCCTGGCTGCCTGAAATGGGAGGGAAACAAAGGATTTGCACTTTAACTCTTTTTCCAGGGGTCGCAGAGCCTCAGCACTTGACAGCCACTGTCATGAGCCACGGCAGGGGAAGGCATGATGGACTGGTGTTTTGCTTTGTTTTGTTTTGTTTTGTTTTGAGCAATCTTCCTGCATAACTCCAGCCTTCCCAAGTGCTGGGATTACAGGGGTGCACTTCCACACCCAGCTGCATGACGTTATAAAAGCATTTATCTCTCTGTGATAAAAAGTAAAATCATTTAAACATGCAAACAAAGTAAACAGACAGCCATGCAAGTCTTTTGACCACCACACCAGAGCAGGGGTTCTCAGCAAAGGGTCTCTTGGGTTCCTGAGGGTCCAGGTCAAAACCTTGTTTATGTTAACACTAAGAAAGCTGGTGGCTCTTTGTCCTAACACTAAGAAAGTTGGTGGCTCTTTGTCCTCTGGAGTGCACGGCAGAGCTTTCCAGAACCGTGTGGCTTGTGACACCACAACAGACTACTGTTCCTCCTCAACCAGACACCAAGGAAACGCACAGGTAGGCGCCACAGTGCCACTCTTCAAATCCAATTTTGGGGAAAATTGTCATTTTTTCCCGAGGCTATTTTGTCAATACTAATGGACTTATTGTTTTAAAAAATTAATCTAAATGAATTCATAAATGACTTTAAAATATCTCCGAGTTCATTCCTATGGTAAATATTGATCTCTCTAGCCCACATCAACAAAAGCTCTTTGAGGGTCTTCAATAACTTCTAAAAGTGTCACAGAGTCCAGGAGCCAAAATCCCAAGAGTCACTGCCCAAGGTCAGGGTCAGTGAACTATCGGTGAGGAAGCTGATAGTGAAGATTTTAGGCTTAGCGAACTAACGCAAAATTGAGGCCATTATGAAGGTACTCCCAGAACAAAGAGAAAACAAATTTGCACAAGGTGTTTCTCCATCATTTAAGAATGTAACCCCATTGTTAGCTCCTGGCCATACAACACCAGTTGGCACAGACCCAATCGGCCCGCAGGCTGTGCCTCACCAACCCCGTCCCAAAGCAGTGTGTAAGGAGGCCCCTATGGCTCTTAGGAGGGAGGGTCAGCCCAGGCCTGCCCTGATGAGTGGGATCCAGTTCCTGGCTCTGTAGGGTCAGATGGTAACCTTTGGAGGACTGGTGCGCTGCAGTGATGTGGGTTCACTGGAGACGGTCACCTCAAGGACGGTGACCCATTCTGTGTTTAATGTGACGATATCATTCTAGCATCTGTTTTTCTACTGATGATAGATAGATTAGATAGATAGATAGATAATAGATAGATAGATAGATGATAGAGGATAGATAGATCAATGGACCAATAAACAGCTGATAGATGATAGACGACAGAAAGATAGATAGATGGACAGACTGACAGATGACAGATAAGTTTCTTGTGTCCTTCGCCATGCTACAGGACCCTTCACCAATGAGTGAAATAACTGACATGTACTCACTCTATCTTTGCGTGAGAATCTTGGCTCTAACTTTTTGAAAGTGGTGCTTTGACCTGTACCTCCCCTGCCATGGAAATAAGCACCTCTCTAGCAAGATAGGTGGAAGGGAAGGTCAGAAAAGGTATAACTAGAATTTCAACCTGAGAGGAGATTGAGGCACTCACCCTACCTCAAATCTAGACGACAGCACCAGATAGTATAAGAAGATTCTAAGAAGTTAGAGGTTGTGCACAGTCACAAGGTACAGGAGCCCAGGTGGTGCACCGCACAACTCCAGAAATCACCAGCCCACAAAGGACAAGGTGGGCAGTACCTCTACCCTTGTGCAACAGTGGCCCAGCTGGCAATAGGCTTCCCAGGACTGGGGCCTCTTGGAGAAAAGCAAGATGACTCTCCCCAAGTATCACTAGGTGGACAGGGAGGGCTATTGACCTAGCTGAAAGGGGAAGGAGAAAATGGAAGACAGATTCTCAAAGGCAGCAGGACTGCCACCTCTGCAAGACCAAGTTTTAAACCCTGGGTGGCTGATGTCTCTTGACTGCCCAGACTGTTTTCTACCCTCCATAGAAGCAAGGGCTTGTGGGCAGATAGAATTCGTTTCTGTAGGACTGACCCCACACTCACGGGCAGCAGACGGGCACGGCATACAAGACCCACTCACACCTGTACCCTTCACACCCCAGCCTTGCTCAGAGCCCTTGCCCAGTCCACCTGGCCTCCCCTGGTGACCCCAGACCAGGGCTCCCTGTACCCACAATGGAAGCCATGTGGCCCCAGACACCAGACCCATCAAGAAAACCTCAAATCAAAAGGAAGCAGGAAGAGGGGGAAAAAAACTAAAACAAAACAAGGAGCGTACCCAGCGTGGTATTCAGCACGACAATGTCTTGCATGCTGGCTTCTGTTGAAAGGAAAGGAGCATACAAATAAACAAGAACGAAAAATAAAAATAGGGCAGACGATGAGGGCCAGGCTTGTCTGAGACTTAACGCCTCACCCTGCCCTTTGGCCTAGCTCTTGGGTCACTGGTGGGGCCACCTGAGCATCCCAGTCCCTTGGGTGGCCTCCCCTGGCCTCGCCAGTCCACACCCACATTCCCCTCTCCAGTACTGACCCAGGATCACCAGGCCTTGGGGGTCCAGCTCGTACTCGGCCCTGTAGGGAGCAGGGGTCGAACAATTGGCAGCAGACAGCAGCTCCTCCACCAGCAGCGCGTGCACCACCTCCGAGCTCAGCAACGCCTTGTGGCGCTCGGGGATTTGAAGGATGAACCAGAAGAAGCAGGTGAGGGGTCCCTCCCTAGGGCAGGCAGATGTGAGCGAGTGGGAAGGGACCTGCAGTCTGCACTCTGCCCACCTCCTCCAGTGGGGTGGAGTGGGGAGGGAGCCAGCTGTGGCCCACAAGTGGCTGGCTCTCTGTCTTCACCTGGAGCCACCTTACTCCCAGCCCCCATTACAGGAGAGGAAACTGAGGCACAGGAGGTCATATCCCATGCCACAGACCTTACAGCAAGTGGCCAAATCAACTGTGAACAGGTGGACCAGACTCTGGGGCCCAGATTCTCAATCAGCCCTGCTGTGGCAGGCCTGTCACCAGCACCGATCAGGGTGCAGAGTGACCTTATCTCCATTCTGCACACAAGGAAACCGAGTTCAGGGAAGGGAGTGGGCACATGAAGGAAGTCAGGTTCCTGCTCCATGCCTCAGTTTCCCCATTAGAAAGGCAGGCATTGTATCAGAAGCCTACAGGCAGGTCCTGGCCTTGTCCTTCAGTCAGAGGTTTTAGCAGGGGCCAATTGATCCGTGATGACTCACCCGAAAGAGTAGACAGAGCTGGAGTTGTAGTAGGCACCCAGGCGGGTGCTGGCGATGAGCTCCTGGAGCTGTGAGGAGGGAGGTGACCGCCTCTGGTGACTCCCTGCAGGACATACCCACCTCATGCCCTGTGCCCCCTCCCCTTGCTGCTCTGAACAGTGGCCACAACCTCACACCTGGTCCCCTTCCGCTTCCCCACCCCAGCTTCCACCTCCACCTGCACCATCATGGCCCCTCATCAACATCCCTCCCACTCTCCACTCAGTAGCGGGGCCCCCTCTTCTCCTCTCAGAGACCTCAGGCACAGCCCCCACCCTGACTGGACGCTCAGTAGGCTGGAGGTTTTGCCCAGGACCAGAGCCCTCTGGGTGGCAAAAAAACCAGGTTCCCCTGCCTTCTTTCAACCTGTGGTAACACTACAGCCAGACCCTGGAATCATTGTCCCACTTTCCAGGGCAGGGACAGACAGCCTGAGGTGGGTCCCCTGAAGCCCACCCCACAGGGAGGACTGGAGGCAAGAGAGTCATTTGGCAGTAACTCTGGGAAGGAACAGTGGAGTAGGGAAGAGATGCAAAGGGCAGGGCTGTTACTGAGCAGGGAGGGCTGTACAGGGCAGCCCTGGGGCATGGCATGTATGTACATCCTTGGAACTGTCCCCACCAAGGCCACAAAGCTGGGCTCCTTATTTACTACCCAGCTCTTGTGCCTGAGAGGTCTGCGGGGACTGAATCCCAGGCTCCCCCTGCTGGGTTGCGGCCTTGCACCTAGCCAAGGGTGGACAGAGCCGGCAGCCAACCATATCCCAGGCAGTAGCCACTGTGTTATATGAGGTGGCTGGGGCCTTGATAGTATCAAGGGCACCGCTCCAGCTTCCCAAGGTCACGCTCTGCCCCTAGCAAGAGGCACCAGCACAATCCAGTCCCAGTGCACCTGACCCTCCCTGCTTGCTGACCTTCCCACCCCCTCTAATGTCCCAGAATAGTACCCACAATATGCTGTGCCCCGGTGAGTGTCCCAGCAGGCTGACCAATGGGTGGACACCACCAGACCACGGCCCTCCCCTTCTTGCCCACACTCCTCCTCCCAACCCCGCCATCTTCCCTACCATCTTCTGGGCTTTGGCCGTTTCGCTGCGGAAGGCACTGGACTCCCGGCGGGCAAGGTCCTGGGAGAAGTGGCGATTGAGCACGCGGAGGCTGCCGGAGTACACCTGGCTGACTGTCGCCTCTGCCTTGTACCCTGCCCAGGAAAGAACCAACCATGGGGTCACTGAGGCTCCTGTCTCTCCCCTCCTCCTGCCACCTGAACTCTCCATCCAGTCTTAGCATCTTGAACCTCCCCAGAATCACCTTTGTCATTGTCACTGCCATCATGGTCACCCAACATTTATCTGATGACACAATGGCTCCAAGGTGGCAAGGGGGAGAGAGGCCTGTGGATGGATGGTGTCCCAAAGGCTCTCAGTGACAGGCTGGCACAGTGACTGATCCAGGACTTGGGTGATGTGTCCAGGACACTCACCTGGGCCCCAGGAGGTCAAGATCGTGGGTTGGCACCTCTATGCACCCCTTCACTTACCAGGCTGTTCAGGGTTCTACAGGTCTGTGCTAGGGTGCACTAGTTGACCAAGTTGGACAGATATCCCCTGCAGACAGACCTCCCCTCAGCAGTGATAGTGTGCAGGGTATATCCATGAGGGGTGCCATCAGGAACTTCAAGGTGTTACTGAGGGGTCCTTACCCAGGGAACAGGCCAGGCGTCAGTGACCTTCCAGCTGAGCTGGGAGGACTGGGAAAGTGCAAATTGAGGAGAGGAAGAGGGGAGACAAACCTACAGCACGTGAAAAGGCCCTGAGGCAGATACATCATAGCAAGGACCAGAACTAAAAGCCTGTCTGGCAAAGACCCTTTTTTTGGCTGGTGGAAAGCAAGTGGATTCCTAGCCCTGTTTATTCTCTTATTCATTCACTCAGCAAGTGTTTACTGAGAACCTACTATGTGTAGAGACTGGTGTGCTATGTGGGACTGTGTCAGTATAACCATGAGCAAGGAGAGCCCTGCCCTAAAGAGGGTGTTGCCTGGGAAGGAAGATGGTAAACAGCCTGGTGTAGAACACGTAAGAGGAGTAAGAGCTGTGAACTCAGGCGGGGGTGGGGTGGGGTTGCAATATAGTGGCAAAGGGAAGAAGGAGAGGGAGTCAGCCATGCAAGGTGTATATCTATGGAAAGAGTGTTCCAGGCAGAGGGACCACAAAAGGTCCTGAGGCAGGAATTTGCCTAGTGTGCTTCAGGAGCAATAACCAGTGAACAAAGGGGAGAGCAGGAGATGAGCTGAGGGAAGAAGCAAGGTGTGTGGGGTTTGCGAACCTTGGAAGACGTTGGTTTTGACTCTGAGTAAGATGGGGACCGTGGGAGGGTTGACGCAGAGAAGTGAGATGATCTGATTTGCCTCATGAAACAGTCCCTCTGCTGCATGAAGAACAGCTTTAAAGAGGCAAGTACAGAGGGAAGACCATGAGGAGGCCCCCACAGGGACGGTCCCCATCCCCCAGATGAGAGGTGATGGCCTGGACCACGCTGCAGCAGTGGAGAGAGAAAGACAAGGGATGAGGGCATGTTTTGGAGCAAGGAGTCAGGTGTGCTGACAATTGCAGCTGGGGCAGGAATGGAGTAAGAGGAAGCGGCTGGAAGGACAAAGAGGACAGCAGTGGAGACCTGGGGAAATTATTTGAGCTGTGCTCTGCACACGTGGTGTCAGGATACCCCCTAGCCATCCCAGAGGAGGGGCAGGGACAGGGGCAGTCAAGCCCCAGGGGAAGCCTGGTTGAACATACAAATTCGGAAGTGACCAGAGGATAAAGGGCATTTAAAGTTAAGGATACAAATGAGATCAAGTGGGTATAGAAAGAAGGGAGGAGCGACCTCCACAGCCAAGGTCACAGAGAAAGCCACATGGCAACCCAAAGCTGTGAGGAAAGGGCTCAGAGAGGAGAGCATGAGTCTTCACAAAGGGTACCAAAGACTAAGACTAGACACCAACTTCAGGAACACAGCCTGTTGGTGACCTTGACAAGAGCTGACAGAGTGGAGGGAGAAAGGAAGGGTGGAGCCAGACTGGGAAGGACAATGGGGAGGGAGGGTTGGATCAGAGGCCTCAGCACCAGGCAGCTCCTTCTAGAAGTTTGCACCAGAAGGGACACGGGCAGGTGGCCCTGCTGGAGGACAGAGGCGACCCCTGCTGACCACACATTGCATGATGACAGCCGTGGAATCAGGAGCCCAGGAGGAGATCTGGCTTTTGACAGTGCAGGGAGGGGTCTTGCCTGGGGACAGGAAGGTAGCAGAGCACATGCAGGGAGGAGGGCAGGTGGCTGGCATCTGTAGGCCTTCTCTGAATGGACCTTTTTTGGGAAGACTGGGCTGGAGGAGTGAGAAAAAAGCACAAATTTCTGGGAGAGTAGGAGGGGAGGAGCTGGGGAGATGGATTGGTGGCATTAAGTGTGGAGTAGAGGACGAAGCCCCAGATGAAGCCAGCCTCACCCCTCCAGGGCAGGTTATAGGTCAGGCACCCCTTACCCATCACCAGCTCCTCACCAAGGCCTGAGCTTGCTCTAGCGTGATCAGCTGCTGGCCCAGCTTCCCTCCAGATGGGCAGAGTGAGCCTCTGACCATCTCCCTGCCCAGTGCCCAGTGCCCACTGCCCACTGCATGCACAAAGCCAGCCAGGGAAGGGGGAGTCCTTCAGTTCCTCCCCTAGTGTCTCTCTACCCTTCATCCTTTTGGGAGGTGGCTTTCCTGGCCACGGAGGCTTGGGAGCACTTACCCCCCTGGGTCCTCAGCCCCATGGAGCACACTCCTGGGGTGGGAGGAGGAGTTGGACCTTTAGCAGCTGAGCGCCTGGTCCTCTAGCCCAGAGCTCAATGGTTTACCCTGAAGACTAATTACCCCTCGACCTGAGGAGGCTCCGAAGCCCTGAGCTATTTGGGGCGCTGGCTTCCTGCCGGTGGTGAAGTGCACACGGTGCTGTCTACTCCCTGCCTGCGTTGCTCGGCTCTGAGTAGAATCTATGAGTCATCGCTGGCAGGTCCCTGCCAACCTGGGGATCCTCACAGTGTCACCCCAGGGTTCGGTTCCAGGCCCCCTGCCATACCCCCCCAAGCCAGGCCTAGGTGGATCTCTCTCCCTATGGCTCCTCCAATGGGTGTCCTGAAATTCCACTGTGACATTTAGCCAAGGAGAATTCTATCCAATGTTTGTCAAGTGTTTAATGAGATGTCCACAAACACTTAGGCAAATCAAATCGTCCTTCCTGGGCTTCCCGACCCCTCGGCCCCTTCTGTCATGTCTTGGCATGTGCTGTGTGTATTATAATTGTCATGTCTGATACCACAACTGAATCGTGAGGACAAGAGGCCATCCCAAGAGCAAAGCGCAGAGCTCCACACACAGGAGGTGCTGGAACTGAATGAGCGAGTGAGTGAACAGGTGGGTGAATGAAGGAGTGAGTGAGTGAGTGAATGAGTGAATGAGTTAATGAATGAATGAAGGAGTGAGTGAGTGAGTGAGTGAATGAGTGAATGAGTGAATGAATGAATGAAGGAGTAAGTGAGTGAGTGAATGAATGAGTGAGTGAATGGAGAACAAACGAACAGGTCTTCTACAATATACAGGCAGCATTCTCACAGGCACACGCTAGTTAATCCATCTCTTCTCATTGCCAAGATGAGAGACCCCAGGCTTAGGGAAAGGGGGTAGATGCTGGAGAGCGTCATGCGATGAATGAATGGAAGGGAGGATGGGTGACCAGGACTCAGCGGGGGACAACCAGGCCCAGAGCATAGCCAGCTGCTCCCAGGGATCCAGGGCACTGAGGGCTGTGATGCCAGGAAGAAAGGGCCACAGTTACAGACAAGGAAGAGACCTCCAAGTCCACTGCTCTCCAGTGGCCTCCTTCATCCCCCATTCATGCTGACTCCTGGAGAGCCAGAGGTGACAGAGCTGTTGTCCCCTCCCCAGAGGAGCACCCAGGCTGGGCTCAAGTGAGCAGAGTCACTAATTGGTAGCAGTTGTGCCTTTGGGCTTCTTGCAGCTGAGCGGGCTGGGCTGGCTCTGAGCCTCAGGGGCAAGCCAGGAGGAGCACAGACAAGGGACAGCAATGTTTGTCCTCCTTGGCTTGTTGAGTCTCAGAAACTGCATGCCGGTCGACCCCTCCCTCTGCTCTGGAGCAGACACGAGCCCCAGGATGGTCCAACAGCATGCCCACCTCAAAAGCACAGAGGGTGACCCAGGAAAGGCAACGCTTTGCCCAAGGTCACGCAGAGGGTGGCTAGGCACTGAGGAGCTTGGAAATCTGTCCCACTATGCACACTGCGGTCACCCAGTCCTCCCCAGGCGCCTATCCAGGTGTGCCCACACCATTACCTAGGAAATACCAGAGCATCAGCCCTGCTGAGGCCAGCGCCACCAGGGCCAGCCACAGCGGTGCCAGGCGGAGGTAGTCCCGGGCTTTCCTCTTGGCGTCCTTGGGAGGCTTGAACATTCCCTCCGGCTCTGCTTCGTCGCCATCACCTCCATCCCCCTGCCCACCAGCTGCCTGGGGGGCCTTGGCCGTGGGCATCCTGGTGGCAAACAGAGTGGAGCTGCATTTGCAAGGGGACTTTGCTGAGCACTGACAGTGCCAGGCAGGGTCCCTGTCCTTTGAGCAGAAGGGCAAGGACCTCAGGGAGCAGTGGCCATGGGTGGTCGCAGGAGCAAAGCAGGCCTCAGGGTGGCACCTCCTGAGGGCGGGTGGCAGAGCTAGCCCATCTAATCCAAGTGGGCTTAACCCCACTCTTGCCCTCTACCTCTCTCTCCCTGTGGTTCCCTCAAGGAGGTGTCCACAGACAGAAGTGAAGCAGGCAGACACAGACTTGTGTAAACTGTCCCCTTTGCCTCGACTTCCCTTCCCTGTGGGATACATTTTTCCTTCCTCCTGATTCTGGCCAGCAGACTTCCCACAGAGTCCACGCAGCTCCTGCCCCAGACACCCTGAACCAGCACTGTGCCAGGCCAGGCCCACTCCTACTCCAAGGTGTCCCAGCCTCTGTCTCCCTATTCTCTCAAAGTGTCTTAGGGAAGGGAACAAAATCCAATGCCTGCTTGAGATATTCATACCATTTAATCACTGGACAGATGAGGAAACTGGGGCCCAGTGTGTCCTAACGACAGCTCAGTCCAGGGTCTTCCTGACCACAGGTTCCCAGTAGGGCATTTTACAGATGAAAAAACTGAAGCCCAGAGAGGTTAAGCCTCTCGCTCAAGGCCACACAGCAGCAGATACATGGGGGCCGAACCCAGGTGACTGTTCCTTCCCCTACTCTGGGATGCATGCCTTCTGCAAATGCTGCTAATGAACAAACCATGATTAAATAACAACTGAATGTCACCCCTCCCACCAGCACAAGGATTCTAGTCTTCTGGGTACCCATAAGTGCTAAGGTGACTTTTACACACACCCTCAGAATAGAGTGATTCAGCTGGCTGAGGCTCACATCATTCCCTACTGGACGCCTGCAGCAGCCTCCTAGCCAGGACCCCTGCCTCCCACCTCGTCCCCCTGCAACACCCCCGTGTGTCACCAGAGTGGTGGCTCTGTCCTGCCCATCACCCGCCTGCTCAGAATTCTTGCATGGCTCCCCACAGCCTGCTGGTGCACCCATGGCAGGGCTGCTGCCCGCTCTGTCTTGTCACCATAATATCCAACTTACTCATCGCCCCTTTGATCCATGAGACTCTCCTTAGGGAAGCCACATCAGCCCTGAGGGAGTGTGGGGACCCTTCCCAGGCCACCTGCTGGCAGTGGGTTCCAGGGCCCTGGGGCCTGGCTAGTTAGCCACCTCCTTCCTAGGCAGCCCTTGATCAGATCAAACACATTTCTGACTTTGGCCTTGTCTCCGTCTCCCCTTGAAAAAGGGAAGGTTGCTAAGTAGGCATGGTGGCACACACCTGTAATCCCGGCACTCAGGAGGCAGAAGCAGAAAGATCAAGAGTTTGAGACCAGCCTGGGCTACATAGTGAGACCCTGTCTCAAAAAACCAACCAAGCAAACAAAGGCAGAACCTATGTCTTGTTCACCACCGGGTCCTCTGGAAGCCCAGCAGAGGGCCTGCCACAGGCATGAACAGTGGGTGACTGGATGGATGGGTGGATGGATGGACGGATGGTGCAGTCAGGTCTCCAGCCCTTGGTATGCAGCTCCCTCCTCTATCCATCCAGGAAGCAAGGCTCAGAAGGCTTAGCACTGCGCAGATGCTGCACTGGCCTTGGGGTCCAAGATTCAGCTACCCACCCACCCAATTGGAGCCAGGCTCTGCGCTCGTGTGAACACAGAGACCCCAGGCCCCCTCCTCTTGGGCGTCTCATGCAGCAGGGGAGAGGGACAATGGCCTGTCATAAAGACAACCAGGTCGCTCCTGTCTCACTGTTATACGGTGGCACTCCTGCTGTTCAGAGGGTCCAGTTCCCCAGAAGTCTGTGGCCTACCTTCCCAAGGCCCCCCACAACCCAACCCCTTCTTGGTACCTCCACTGCTCCCACCATCACCCAGCCACATTATCTGTCACCTCATGTAGCTAATCGTCCTGCCACAGCTACCGCCATGAGGGAATTCCCACAGAGTGGTGTCTTCACCACGCGCCTAGCTCACAGCCTTGCACAGCTCCCATCCACCTGGAGCACAGAACCAAAAGGCTCCTATGTGTCCTCCTGTCCTCTTCTTCCCTCCATGGAACACCCCTGCTCCCTGCCAGGACTACCGACATCCACCCCAGGACCTTTGCACTTGCTGTTTCCTCTGTCTGGAATGTTTTTCCTTCAGTTTGCCTCATGAACAAGCCTTTGCCTTCAAGTCTTTGTTCAGATGTCACCTCTTCAGAGCGGCCTGCCCTGATCACTCCCCTTTCTCTGCTGAACTTTACAGCACTCTGGAGACCCAACTTACAGAAAGCGCGTCTCCTGCCTGTGCACAAGAGCAGGGCCTTTATTCTCTGCATTCTTCAAGTCCTGCTCCCATTGTCCAGCCTGTCACTCAGTTGCCATGGAATGAACGAATAGAAGGTTCCCGCCTAGCTGAAAGGTGCTGGTCAACTTTCTGCTGGCCCATTTCTCTGCCTCCTCATCCCAGTCCCTCTCTTCCCCTACTAACTGGTGACATTGACCTTCTCTTCACTATAAATTCCTACACTGAAGGGGGAGCCAACTTTCCTGACCCACAGCTGGTAGCCAGCCCTGGGCATTCTGAGCCCTGTAAGTTCACTGCTGACATCCCCCACACTCCTTCCATGCCTGGGCTCCCCCCGACCCAGCCCTCTCTGCCATAAAAAGTATCTCCCCTGACGGGAGCACCTGGATGGATCCTGACACCTGCTCCTTACCCTCTCTGCCCTACCCCAGTGGCCAATCCTCATCCGCCCTCTGCAGCTGAGCTCGCTGGGACAGAGGCACCTCCCCAGCATAGCGCCAGGCACAGGCAACACAGATCTGGATCCAACCACTTCGTGGGAACTCCTGACACGCACCAGCCGTGGACCAGGCAGGGAAGCAAATCACCTTCCACCTCACTCCAGCAGTCTGGGCTGATTGTTTTGCTGTCTCTTTTTAGTGATTGGGGAAACTGAGGTACCAGGAGATGAACTCCCTCAGCCAGAGCCAAGCAGGTACTCTGACTGGAGGAATTTGGCAGTGAGGCCAGTGCCTGGAGGAAACTGTACGGAGTTGCTGTCACTGCTGTGGGGGGCTGGCTTGGGGGCCCTGCCACATGCAAAAATTCACCCAAAGTGCACACAGATGTGTGCACATGACAGCCTCATAGCTGTATGCTCTGGCTATGCACGCAGGCACGCACACACATCAGCTCTGAGGCTGGGAGCTCAAGGTCCTGTATGTAGGTCCCGCCCAGGTGCAGTGTGGGGCTCTGGGCCTGTCTTGCAACCCAGAAGCCCAAGGGTAGTCACTGGTCATGGAGAGAGTCACTGCACAGCAGGGCAGCAGAGAGCCCAATAATCAGGCCTTTCCCTGTCCCTGCCCGCCTCCCGTGCCCCAGGCCCTCAGCAGTCAGGGCAGCCCCCTCTCCACCCGGTGCCCCAAGCTTTCCACACAGTTGGGCCCACTCTAACCGTGCTGCCCCGACTCCAGCTCCCTGCACCCCGTGCCCTCAGGTCATTCTGGTCCGTGAGGCCCTGCAGGCCTGGCCTCAGAACAGCTCCAGTTTTAGGGGGCTAGTGTTGGCTCTCAGAGGGGACACTGTCACCAAGTCACGCATAGACCCTCTTCCCCCATCCGGAAGCCCCTGCTTACCTTCAGGAATGGCAGGTGGGTGCCCGGCCTGCACGCAGGCCTTGGGAGCCTCTGTTTATCCAGGCCAAGGTCTCTCCACCCCCACACAGCCGGCCTGGGCTGGATCAATAATCCAGAGCCATAGCTGGGTTGTCCAGCCCTTGTCCCCTGTGGCCTGTGGGCCCAAACTCCATGGGCTTCCTGCTGGGTCCAGTATGGAACCCTGACTGAGCGCAGGTAAACAGTCCAGAGGCAGGAGGCAGGCTGTGCTGGCCCCGCCCCACCCCGCCCCTCAGGCTCCCCAGGGGCTAGCAGGCAGGTGCAGGAGACCTGAGCTCTCCCCCTGGGCCGTTGCCTGGTGACAGTCCTGCCTGGTTACAGCCCCCGGTCCCCAAGAGCATGAGTGGGGCAGTGGAGGATTGGAGGCTGGGCTGGGGGGGTGGGGGCTGGAGTGCATGCTGGTCTGCTCACCTGCACAGGTGAGACCTGAGGAGCCAATGGCCCAAGAGAGAACAAAGGAGGCCAGATGTGCACTGTGGGGTTGGGAAAGGAGAAAGTCGGGTAGGACAGGGCCAATGTCTCTGTTTGGAAATCAGTACCTTACTCTGTGGAGTGCAGGTCCACGACAGGGGCCACGAGCCATGGACGGTTCTTGGGCTCTTGGGGTGTGGCCAGGCTGAACTGAGATGGGCTCCTGGGTAACACACACACTGGATTTCCAAGACCCCATGCAAGCTAATCATGTAAATTACCTCATTTTATAGCAATCTCATGTTAAAATGATATATTTTTCACTCTCTTGGATGATTAAATTTAAGATTAAAATGCATTCCACCTGCTTTTTTGCATTTTCAATGTGACTACTAGAAACTTAAGTTCTACATGTGGCTGACAGAATAGTTCTGTAACAGAACAGCGCTGTGGATCTGACTGAATGTGCGCCACAGCACATGGTCTGACCAGGGCTTCCTGCGTGTGCAGACTGACAGTTGAGGGGTGACCTGCAATCAGTGTGGGTCCTGGGGTCAGAATGTGGTATACGATCTGAGACCCAGTGTGCTGCAGACACGTGGGAGCTAGTGTGTGTAGACTCCCTGTGGAAGGGCTGTGTGTGCAATGTGGTATGTATGTGTGGGAGTAGGGGTGTGTATCTGTACATGGTGAGGGGCTGGGGGTGCACCCAATATTGGGGGGTGTGAAAGATTAATGTATGTATGAGGTGTCATGGTGCAAAATGGCCTGTGTGGAGTGAGGCGGGTGCAGAGCATCAGGGGTATGTATGTATACATGTATATGCGTATGAGTGTGTGTGCA